GGGGGGGGGGGGGGGGGGCGAAACGTCCGGGTGGTGGAGAATCAAGTTTTGTTGAGGTTGAAGATAATGATTCCGTCGCATTTGGCAAGTTAGTGAAGCGAGCTATTAGTAGCGTAACCCGACAGAGCGTAAGGCATCGCATAAAAGGGTGGACCGTCTTAGTATTGCGAAGCTTTTGCCTGACACCATGTTTTCGTGCTGTGGGGGTGGTGGTCGAAACGGAGCAGGGACGAAGAAGAAGAGGAAGCAACATTACATATATATTCCGACGCGTACGTGGGGTGGAATTCCATGCTATAGGGTGTACGGCTGCGTACACACGCAGAGCGTACAAATATGCACGGGCGCGTTTTTGCTGTCCTTCGTGTATTTGTGTGTGCTTGGGGACTGACTAACTGCTCGTTCGTGCGGCGCTTGCTTGCCCTTAGACTAGGTAGGCGTGGTGGCTTATCTGGCGGTGGTTCGTGTGAAGTAGGACGGGTGTCGTGAGCGAATTGGATGGCATCGTCGTCATCTATCTGTGCTGAGCGTGGGCAGTGTCCGTGCAGCGGGTGGTTGTTCTGGTGTGCGAAGAGATAAGGGAGTCGTGCCATTATGATGGTGTAGGGCAGGCACCAACACCTCCTTCGCTCGATTGTCCGTGAGCGGCTCGCTAGGTGTCTTGCTGCTTGGCTTGTTTGCCGTTCTGAGGGACGTCGGAGGGATGTTTGCGGTCGGCGGGATGGTTAGGGTGACATGTGCACGTAGCAAGCTGCTGTTACATCTAGGTCGTCAGCATAGAAAGGATGGGGATAGGGAGAGGGCATGCACGGCACGCCCCCCAAAGGGGTCGTTGGAAGGGTTCTGATCAAACTGGCCGGGTGCGAGTGATAACTCCGTTGTTTTTCCCAAGAGGTGACGTCATGACCGTGGCTGACGTCATCGGTCGACCATTTCCTTTCAAAAAAATTGGCCAATCAGAAAACTGCGGGCACCTTTTCTCTCTCTCACCTTTTCTCTCTCTCTACCCACCTGGCGAGCCCACTTGGGCAATTAATTGCTCCCCATTCCACTGCGGACCACATCAAGACGCGCGCACGTGGCTGGCATCACGCGTTGCATGTAAGACGAGAGAGAGAGAGTATAGATGATGTCTTGCATCCCGCCCTTCTTACGCGGAGGTTACCCAGGCATGCTTGCATCCAGGTGCTACAGCAGTATCTGCTTGGACCTAAATACTGCCGAGGGGCACGTGTCTCATCCCCGCCCACGCTGGATAAAGCGAGGTGGGGTGGGGTACTCAAGTCACCTCTGTTCCACTCTTGTGTTCGTGCAGCTCTTCTCTTATGTTGTATGTGTCTCGTGGACTCTTTCTCTCTCTCTTTGGGAGTCCAGCGGGGGATCTTGTGCCCTCCTTTGCTCCGAAGACTTTTACTCCTTTTTTTCTTCGGCACTGCAGGCGAGGGAGGTGCTTGCTGCAGAGGCTAAGACTTGGAACGCAAGTGAGTGGATTCAAAGCTCTACATCATGAATGCTCTACATCATGAATGCTCTACATCATGAACGCTCTGCATCATGAATGCTCTACATCATGAATGCTCTACGCTGGCGGATCGGGAACACTATAATACTGCTGTGTAGTACGGCCAACCAAATTGGTGGGGCAGCAGCGCAAGCAATTTTCGTGCGTTTGCGTTCACAGCAGCAGCAGCAGATCTGTAAGGAAGGGGATGGGCATTTATTTGTCATTGATTGAAGTAGGGAAAACGATGGCATTTATTTGTCGCTTGAGCTAATTATGTATGTGTGTGTGCAATGGAAACGGATGGACATTGTCATTTGATGTAGAATACAAGTTAGAAACTGATGCACATTTGTCATTTGATCCAAGTGGAAACGGATGGACATTTTTCACTCGAATAATGTATTTCGATCACGTTTTTCACTTGATTGAACCATCGGAATTTCGGACAAGATTTTTTACTTCCTGCTTTTTTCGGGATTGTGCTACTGTATTATAGCTGAAACCAACCACAACTTCTTTGCAATTAATAATGTATTGGGGATTGTTCAGTTTTTTGGGGACGCGAAATTATTATCGTCCACAAACAAATCGAACGCGCACTCCAACAACGCGAACGGAACTACTATAGAGAAGCAGGGGATACGTATACCCTACCCCTGACGCCAGATTTTCTACCAATCCCATACTTTATCTTAAATGTTTTCCTAATAAAAACCCGCGATTAGTCTGCTCCAAGGGGGCGCAACAACAACACCC